GGTACCTCCTATGAAACCCAGCACTGTGCTGGGGGCTGGTGATATGGTGGTGAACATGCCACAGTTCCCACCCTGGAGGAACGTTCAGTACCAGGAGCAGACACAAATGAGTAAGCATCTATAATAAAGTGTGATGAGCATAATGGAAAGAGAGGTCTCCACAGGAGTTCCAGCAGTTCCACAGGAACTGCTGATGGAAACTCATATAAAGCAGAGGAATGTTGTCTCAAGACTTGGGAGGTCAAAGGCGATTTCTTGGAAGAAGTAGTGTCTTAACTAAGACTAAGGAATGAGGGAGAGTTGAGCAAGCAGCTAGTTTACATTGTGTATTATTCAAAAATGTTCAAAGCAACACAAGTTCACCTCAACCTCCCACCCTCTCATTTTACTTCTAGAGCACTCTGTCTAGTTTGCATCCTGGCCTCATTCTTCCTATGTGATTTGGTTTGTCATCTTCCAGGAATTCCAGCTTATTTTAATAGTCATTTGAGCCAGATAGATTTAGAAAGATAAGTATGCAGCAATAAAATTAATCCTTGACCTGAGGTTTGAAAAACAAAGTCGTATTTCCTGGTAGCTTCTGAGTCTGATATGACAGGACAGCTCTAGAAGAGAGTATGACCCCACTGGGAGTTGAATCAGATAACTCAGCAATTCTAGTCTTGGTCTACTATTGAGTAACTGGGTGGTGCTGGGCAATTTTCTTAACACTATATGTGAGTTCTCTTATTTATTTATCTTTGTATTAAAAAGAGAGCATTAAGTCTCTAGTTGCTCTCCTCTAATATGGCATGAGTCAAGTGATTTTGCAAAGCTAAATAGAAACAATCTAGAATGGGTGGTCTCATGGAGAGCAAACTGAGGTCTCTAATAGAATGAGAAAGGTTCAGCTCCAGCTGGAAAGCTCATTTGGTTAGAGCATCCTCCCAATACGTCAAGGTTGCAGATTTGAACCCTGGTCAAGGCACATATAAGAATCAACCAATGAATACATGATGTTCCTCTCTCTAAAATCAATAAATATAAAACGTAAAAAGAAAAAGATTCTACCTGCAGTGCCAGGGTAGAGTTCAGGAATAGAACTAGAGGGCTCACAATCTACCACAGCAGCTCTCTCAGGCTTACCCTGCCCTTCTCTCAAAGCTCCCTTTCCTACCTGTGGTTAAAGAAAGTTTCCATCGTGTTCTTATAGATTGTACCTATTTATAAATGTTATTGACTGAAGCACATTGATCTATCTCTATGGACAGTCAGCAAGGGGCACACATTGACTGTTTCATATCCCCGCATTTCCTACTCTGCCAAGTTACATTACATTCCTCAATCTCACTATCTTTCCTGGAAGAACCCCTGGTACTAAGTCAAAACCTGTAAGTTTTTTTAGTAGGTGAGGTTGACCTACTCTTGGGCCCTGTACAGGAGTCTAGGTGCTATGGAATTTAAACCAACCACACTGATGACCACAAATTCCAATACAGGGTGCGGCAAAAGTAGGTTAACATTTGTTCATATGGAAAATAATACAATAATTAATAAATAATTATGCAAGAATAAACTCTGTAAACTCAAAACTGTAAACCTACTTTTGCCCCACCCTGTATAATAACAATTCCTGATAAATCCCATAACAAATATGATTCAGAAGACTTGGCCAGATATGAAGTTCTTAAGAACACTTAAAGAGTCAACTCAACATTTCAGGTTTCTGATTTTCCAGTTTTAAAATAAATGACTTCCCTTTTAACACTATAGCTGGGAGTGGAAAATGGTAGACAACATTTTCATTCAATGTAAGCCCAAGGTTCTTGCTGGGGCAGCCCAAGGGTCTGAGACATCCACAGCCAGTAGTGTGTTGGGGAGGGCACAGAGGATATCAGCTTGGTTTTCATAGCATTTGCAGAAAATTAAATGTAAAGGACTGAGCTGTCATAAGTGACAAAGGTGTAAGGGAAATGTTTACAGAGCCGCTCTAACCTGCAAATGAAAGGTAGCGTCTTTTTGATTCTCCAGTAAAAGAGGAGGATACCTTGAAGCAAGTGTTAGGTCACTAGCTCTTTCAAAGTAGGAGTTTCCCTCTGTCCTGGGTTTGAAAGCCTGCAAATGAGATAGGAGAAAAAAGTAAAATAATACTAGCAGCCAACATTTATTGAGCCCTTTCTATGTACCAAGCCCTGGATTAAGCATTTACACACATGTATTTATATACATGAATGCCTTTAAAATTTATAAAGTGCTCTTTCTCTTGTTTTATAAAAGAGGAAATAGACTCAGAGAGAGTCAATAACTTGTTCAAGGTCACACAGCCAATAGCCCTGCTCTGTGCCAAATTTGCCTGAAGCAGGTCATGCAATTTTTGACTTCAAATGGCATTCTGTGCTTTGATCATGAACAAATTAATATCAGGGGGCCACTGCCCTCGGTCTAGGAGGGCTGTTCCCTCCACATTGGACACTCCCCTGCATGTGCCACCACTCACACCATTTCATGAGAGCTCATGATTACTCCTCAGATTGTCACCCAGATACCACTGTGTGTGATGGGAAGATGAGGATAATTACACCTTGCCTTTCAGAGTCATTCTGAGGATTGAGAGATGATGTCAGTGAAGAGCTTTCCGCAGAGTAGGACATCATGATAAGCTTAGGGCAAGTGGCAGCTTTAAACCTGATTAGTCCTATTACTGAATCACTGTGTCCTCCACTATTTATACTTCTATCTCTACTTCTTTTCTCTAAGCCAATTCCCCATCAAAATTGTAATCCCATATATTTTTTTAAATTGGTACTTGGATTATACTTTTAAAGCTCCAGGTAATTTTATTTACTCGATTACTACATGTGCACATTGTCTAACCACCGCACTGCTGTTATTCCAGTTAAACAAGGGTGGTTTGCACATCCATGAACATGATTTGATCTTCCTGGCCCTTGTATTTGTTTTTTTTTTAAAGGTTGCAAATGAGACCCTGGGGCACTGGAGTCCTATTTCCATCACAGGGAAATGAAATCGACCTCACCTTTCAGTCTCCATTCTATCCTAGACATTTCTAGAAGGGGAAAGAAAAACCTGGAATACCCTCCCCATTTTCTCCCCACAAGCAATTCCTACCAGTTATTCAAGGCTGTCTCTACATATCATCCATCTCCTCCAGGAAGCCTTTCCTGAATCCCTCCCATAGGAGGTGACTGTCCTCTCAACTCCCACAACCTTCGTGCTTACCATCCTTTAATGTCTTAGTGCCCAATGATCTTTATCTCCATCGACTGTGCTCCTTGAAGGCAGGGACACTGTTTTCGTTTCTGTACCCCACCCATCTTACCATGCCCTGCTCACAGGAAGTGTTCAGTGTTTGTGGGACGAACGTCACATAGCTATTTGTTTCCTACAGGAAAGGTCCATTTGTCAGACATATTTGCCCCTTACAGCAATGTTGTTTATGCTGTTCCTGTGTGGATGTCAAAGGGAGTGCTGTATTGTACATTTAGTGAACCTCACCAGCTAGGTGAGATCCTGGGGTCTCGTCCTGTTTTCCTAGTTTGCCTTGGGTTTGCTCATGTCTTAAAACAAATGAACAAATAAGCAAAACACACACATGTACAAGCACATGAGTGTGCCCTTTTATTGTTTTTTTTATAATTCTTTTAATTTATTTTTTATTGATTATGCCATTACAGTTGTTCTATTCCCCCCTTCATTCCCCTCCACCCTATCCCCCCGTCCCCACCATTACCCCCCCTTTAGTTTATGACCATGTGTCTCAAGTCCTTTAGATTCTATATTTCCCATACTATTCTTGCCCCCCCATCTATTTTCTATCTACTATCTATGCTACTTATTTTCTGTACCTTCTCCCCCCTTCTCCTCCTCCCACTCCCCTGTTGCTAACCCTCCTTGAGATCTTCATTTCTATGTTTCCACTCCTGATCTAGCTGTCCTTTTAGTTTGCTTTCCTTTTAGGTGTGGTTGTTAATAACTGTGAGTTTGCTGTCCTTTCACTGTTCATGTTTTTTTTTTTTTTAAACTTATTTTCCTTAGATAAGTTCCTTTAACGTTTCATATAATAAGGGCTTGGTGATGACCAACTCCTTGAATTTGATCTTATCTGAGAAGCACTTTATCTGCCCTCCCATTCTAAATGAAAGTTTTGCTAGATAGAGCAATCTTGGTTGTAGGTCTTTGGATTTCATGACTTGGAATACCTCTTTCCAGCCCCTTCTTGCCTGTAAGGTCTCTTTTGAGAAATCCCCTGACAGTCTGATGGGAACTCCTTTGTAGGTAACTACCTTTTTTTCTCTTGCTGCTTCTAGGATTCTCTCCTTCATTTTAATCTTGGCTAATGTAATTATGATGTGCCTTGGTGTGTTTCTTCTTGGGACCAACTTTTTTGGGACTCTCTGAGCTTCCTGGATTTCCTGGAAGTCTATTTCCTTTGCCAGATTGGGGAAATTCTCCTTTATTATTTGTTCAAATAAGTTTTCCACTGGTGGCTGTTCCTTTCCCCCTTCTGGTACCCCTATAATTCAGATGTTGGAGCATTTAAAGATGTCCTGGAAGTTCCTAAGACTTTCCTCATTTTTTTGAATTCTTGCTTCTTTACTCTTTTCTGTTTGGCCATTATTTGCTTTCTTCTGGTCCACTCCATTGATTTGAGTCCCAGTTTCCTTTTCATCGCTATTGGTTTCCTGTGCAATTCCATTCATTTCAATTAGTTTCGCCTTCATATGTTTCTCTAATTTGTGGCTATAATCAACCAGATCTGTGAGCATCCTGATCACCAGTGTTTTGCACTGTGCGTCTGAGAGTTTTGCTATTTCTTCATCACTTAGATTTATAGGCTCCGGGGCTTTGAGATCTTCTTGAGCCATTTTTGTTCTGTTCGCACCCTCCCTTTAAGTATGAGGAGCGGAGCCTTGGACTTCCAGGTCGCTGGGTTGTGACGTTGTATGTGGGGGCGTGGTCAGAGTGGGGAAATGGTGACCCCTCTGCTGCCGCTCGCTGCTGGGGCCTGCTGGGTCCCATCTAATCGCCCACTCCCTTGTTTGTCTATCTGTGCACGAAGGGTTGACAGTCAACCCGCAGCCCTGCTCCCTCGCTGTTTCCCTGCGGTCGTTCACTGGGTCGCTCACTAGGTCCATCCCTGCGGCTGGGTTCCGCATGCCTGAGTCCGTCTGACTGAGTTTTCCTGTGCAACCCCGCTCCGCCAGCTGCTGGTTTTGCCCTTCTTACAGGTCAGGCTGAAGAATTTGTTGTTATCAGACTTCCAAAAAGTTCAATTTTCTGTGTTCTGGCTGTGTTTTCTGTTGCTAATTTTAGTTGTCTCTAAACTTGGTTGTGTGAGAAAGCATGGCATTTCCACCTATGCGTCCATCTTGGCAGAAGTCCCCTATTGTTTTTTATTATATAAGCAAAATATGCTCATTGTAAAAGACATCAGAACACATAAATAACAAAAAGGAGGAAATAATAATAAGCATAATTCTACCAACTCAAAGAGAAACCTTTATATTAATATTTTTCTGACCATACACACAGACTTTTCTTCATGCATGTATATATTTTTTAAATGGGTCACAGTGTTTATATCATACTGTTTTCTCTTTGTATATATTTAAGTACTAAATATCTTTTATGTCATATTTAGATCACATAGATCACATAGGTTTTATTGTATTGATATGCCACATTTTATTCATTCTTGGATGGTTGCATTCTTTCCAAATTTTTTCAATTATTCACAGCAATGCAAGGTGGTTAACTGCTTAAGCTTTTTAAAAAATATTTTTTATTGATTATGCTATTACAGTTTTCCCAATTTTTTTCTCCCTTATCCACCCTCTACCCTGCCCCCACAACACTCCAGCATCCCCCCCTTAGTTCATGTCCATGGGTTGTACATATAAGTTCTCTGAGTCCTGTTTCTTATACCATTTTTTTATCTCTCTCCATCTATTTTATGCCTACTAATTATGCTTCGTCTTCCCTGTCCCTTTCCCCCTATTCTTCCCTTCACCTTCCTCACTGAAATCCCTCCATGTGATCTCCATTTCTCTGATTCTGTTCCTGTTCTAGTTGTTTGCTTAGTTTTTGTTTTCATTGTTTTTCTTTTCTTTTAGGTTCATTTGTTGATAGCTGTGAGTCTGTTGTCATTTTACTGTTCATATTTTTTATCTTCTTTTTCTTAGATAAGTCCCTTTAACATTTCATATAATTATGGGTTGGTGATGAACTCCTCTAACTTGACCTTCTCTGGGAAGCACTTTATCTGCCCTCCCATTCTAAGTGATAGCTTTGATGGATAGAGCAATCTTGGATGTAAGTCCTTGCCTTTTATGACTTTGAATACTTCTTGCCAGCCCCTTCTTGCCTGCAAGGTTTCTTTTGAGAAATCAGCTGATAGCCTAATGGGCACTCCTTTGTAGGTGCTGTCTCCTTTTCCCTTGCTTCTTTTAGAATTTTCTCTTTATATTTAATCTTGGGTAACTTAATGATGACATGCCTTGGCGTGTTCCTCTTTGGGCCCAACTTGTTTGGGACTCTCTGGGCTTCCTGGACTTCCTGGAAGTCTATTTCCATAACCAGATTAGGGAAGTTTTCCTTCATTATTTGTTCAAATAAGTTTTCAATTTCTTGTTGTTGCTCTTCTCCTTCTGGCATCCCTATAATTCAGACATTGGAGTGTTTCAGGTTGTCCCAGAGGTTTGTAAGACTCTCTTCACTTTCTTGAATTCTCATTTCTTCATTCTGTTCCCCTTGGATGTTTAATTTTTCCTTTTGTTCCAAACCGGTTTTTTGTTGTTTTTTTTTTGGGTGGGGGGGTTGAGTCCTGGTTTCCTTCCTATCACAGTTGGTTCCCTGAGTATTTTGCTTTATTTCTTTTTGGGTACCTTTCATTTGTTTTTTCATCTTTTGACCCAACTCAATCAGATCTGTGAGTATTTTGAATACCAGGGCTTTACCTTTTCTATCAGATAGATTGTCTATGTCCTCATTGTTTAATTCTGTTTCTGAGGTTATGCTCTGTTCTTTCAGAGCATATTTGGGCCATATTTCTTTGTTTTGGCACACCGGTCTGGTTGTTCTGATTGATTTTTTCTTTAATTCCTTCATTGTCAGAGTTTCATGCAGTTTGCTTTTCTGGAGTTTCTGATTATTTATTGATTTTAGATTGGTTGTTATCCTCCTTTTGGTTGTGTGAGGAAGCAAAGGGTTTCTACCTACACCTCCATCTTGGCTGGAACTCCTAACTGCTTAAGTTGTTATTATTACCTTATGAAAAAAATTGAGAATAATAATGCTAGTCCAGTGGGTATGCATAATTTATGTGGGTTTTTAATACTTTTTATAAGCTACCAAATTCCCTTTATTCCCCACTGTCAGTGTGTGAGTCTTGTTAACCGTGGACACTTGCATTAAAACAAAACCAAGAAGTTCTAACTGGTGTGGCTCAGTGGGTTGGGTGTTGTCCTGCAAACTGAAGGGTCATAAGTTCAATTCCCATTCAGGGCACATGCCTGGGTTGCAGACCAGGTCCCCAATTGGTATTTCTTTCCCTCTCTTTCTCCCTCCCATCCCCTATCTCTAAAAATAAATAGATAAAACCTTTTAAAAAGACAAGCAAACAAAACACTTGATCATTGCAAGGTCATTTTTGTTTTACTTGGCATTTATTTAACCACAGAAAGGTTAAAGTCTTTGCATATGTTTATTGATGCTTTTTCTTTTTGTAAAGTTAAGTACTCTCATCTTTTGCTTATTTTTTACTCATTAATTCGAATGCTTTGTTTCACATGGGAGTTAGATCAGTACCCAGTTACCCTAAACTTTCTAATATAGTTTGTAAATTAGCAATGTTTTCTTCTTCTTTCTTTCTTTTTTTAAAAAATATTTTATTGATTTATTTTTTTAGAGAGAGAGGAAGGGAAGGAGAATGAGTGGGAGAGAAACATTAATGTGTGGTTGCCTCTCATGTGTCCCCTACTGGGGACCTGGCCTGCAACCCAGGCATGTGCCCTGACTGAGAGTTGAACCAGTGACCTTTTGGTTCACAGGCCAGCACTCAATCCACTGAGCTACACCAGCTGGAGCCAGGTCGTTTTTTTAGGAACCTCCTAAGCCTGTGACCCAGTTCCTTCTCCCTGTGGTTGCCGGATCAGAGGGCATTATTCATGTCCAGGCTCCCTTTCAATGTCCAGACTTCTCCCAAATTGAGGTCAGCCTTGGCAGTTTTACAGCAAACCCAGCTAAGTTTACAAAGGAATTGAATATCTCACTCTCTCCTATGACCTCTCCTGGAGAGATATTGATATTATCTTTTCTATGTGTACCAATTTGGGCGAGAGAGGCCATATTTGGGCTAAGGCACAGGAGTATGGGGATGACCAAATTGGAGGCAGCTGAATACTTATGCCCTCCATGCCACGGCGGTCCCTGACCAGAATCCTGATTGGGATGACCAAACTAAGTCCCCTGACCACTGTAAACGAGATCACATGCTCTCCTGTCTCATAGAGGGAATGAAGTAGGCCAGTATGAAGCCTGCTGACTACTACAAAGTTAAGGAAGTCACTCAAGGGACAGATGAGAATGCTGCTATTTTCCTCTTTAGGCTCTGGAAGGCCTTTCACCTCTACAGTAATGGAGACCCGGATTCTAGGGAGAGCCAGTCAATCTTAGCAATGTACTTCATCTCCCAGTCAGCCCTGGACATTTGGAGCAAACTCCAAAAGCTAGAAAAGAGCCCTCACACCCCACAATCAAAGCTAGTTTATCTGGCTTTCAAAGTCTTTAAGAATCATGATAAGACCCTGGCTAGTGTAGCTCAGTGGATTGAGCATGGGCCTGCAAACCAGAGAATTGCGGTTCAATTCCCAGTCAGGGCACGTGCCTGGGTTGCAGGCCAGTTCCCAGCAGAGGACACACCAGAGGCAACCATACATTGATATTTCTCTCCCTCTCTCCTTCCCTTCCCCTCTAAAGATAAATAAATAAAATCTTTAAAAAAAATCATGATAAGGATAAACGAAAGAAGAAATAGGAGCAGGATCAACAACAATCCCAGGAGCAAAAAGAGATTTTCCAAACGGTAGCCTCAGCATTTGAGGGGGCTGTACAGGGAGGGAGTCACCCAAGGCCCCTGTCACGGCAGCAAGGATAGCCATCAGTGGCATAGGGCCCCCGAACCTGTTTCAACTGTGAATAAAAGGGTCACTGGAGCAATGTCCTAAGAAAAAGTGGCAGCCGTGCCCATGTTGCAAAAAGTCGAGGCACTAGAAGAAGGACTGCCCCCTCCTCAAGGGAGGAGATGGAACTCCCCTTCCAGAACTGGCAGGTACTCCTAGGGGTACCTCGGACAGCCCGTGGACCTCCTTGGCCTCCTCCAGGCATTGGACTGACAGGGCCCGAGTTGGACCAGGCTCCACTACCATCAAATTGGCCCCGAGCCTCGGATAACTTGTTCCAGGTAAACTGCTTAGCTTAATCAGATTAATTTCTTAATCCATTCCGGAGCCACCTACTCTGCTTTTCCTGAGTTTTGGGGCCCTTTGTCTCCCTCTCCTATCTCCATCGTAGGGGTGGAGGGAAGGCTTCAGGCTGCCCTGCAAACCCCCAGCCTCCTCCCCCATCTGGGAGATAGGTCTTCGCCCACTCATTCTCAGTAGTTGCTAATTGTCCCACCCCTCTCTTCGGAAGAAATTTAATGACTAAACTAGATGTTCAGATCCTTCTGCACCCTCAGGCTCCTTTCCTAGGACTGTTGGGGACTTCCTCAACCCCAGCTTCCCTCCCCACCTCCATTCCTTCTGAGGTTGAAAACAGAGCCCCACCTCAGGTCTGGACCACCACTCCTGGGAGGGCACATCACACACAGCTCATCACTATCCTCATGAAAGATTCCCTACATTTCCCTTGCCACTCACAATACTCAATTAAGCTAGAGGCCTGCAAGGGACTCAAACCCTTTATTACCAGGTTTCTCAAATCAGGCTTACTAAGACCCACTGACCTGAGTAAGAGCTCTCCACAGGAGAAACTGCCCAAGGATTCCACTCTTTCCTCTTACACGTGCCAGCCAATTTAGGATACCAAGCGCCAACTCACCAAAGCCCAGCCAGCAGACACATGAGCCCCAGAAAGTAGCTGACATCATCTGGTATTACTGAGTAAGTCCCCTTTTACAACTCCAAGCCAGTCCCACTAAGAGGTCTCCTGTGTCCTTGCTGGGAGCCCT